CCATCCTGCACTGCGCCATCTTCAGTGGGAGCAGTTTTTGGATCCTTCTTTGGGCGTGAACACCTTTGTTGGGAGATAAGGTATAATTCTCTCCTACTCCTTTTGGTTCAGATCTGATTCAGTTTAAGGTTCAAGAATGATCCTTGAAAATATGATTTTCTAAATAGGGAATGCAATTCCCAGTTGAAGGGAGAGAAAAATTTTTTGAAATTCGCCCCTTATTCCGCAATCTTTGGGCGTCCATGGGATGGATCTCTCATCCCTTCAAGAATGATTTGAAGACTTATAATTTGACACAAGCCAAAACAGAAATCATGGTTCTTGATCTTGATAGAGCACAATGGCAAGACAAATTTTGTAAATCTGACCACAAATAATGGGATTATGGCTGAGGTGAGTTCATCTGAGTTACAATAAAAATTGAGAAAGATATTTTAATTGTTTAATTTTAAAAAGGTTTTGTAAATGGATCACCTAGGTAGTAGATAACTGTCCGTCCAGACTCCTAGGAGTATGACATTTGAAAGATGTTTCGAAGTATATAAGCTAGATATTCAACAGGCAACCCATTCTATCACAACCATGTGGAGGAATGGCATGACCAATCAGATCATTTATCAAATAGAGAACCCTCTGTATTGGTCACTTCTTACAATGCACAACCCCCATGAGCTCCGTATAGAATCTTGTAATGGATACTTCCCAATAACACAAGTTATTGAAGTTTTAGATATTTGAAACTAAATAAGAAATCCAGGGAAAAAGAAGAGCTTTATTTTCACATGACAGGGGCAGTGGGTTGAAACTTGCAACATGATCGAATTTGACATGATAAAGAAAAAACATTAAGCCCTCTTGGCTGCCACCAACTGGTACCAATCTACAGTTGATAATGTCTTATAGTGTTTCTGCAAGAAACTAAAAAAGAAGAAAGGTAGAACTTGTTTCTTGTAAGTTATACAGGCCATAACTAAAAAAGAGACCATAATTATCATCTGAATGCTGGGTGGGTGGGGGAGAGAGAAAGAGGGAGAGGGAGAGAGAGAGAGAGAGAGAGAGAGAGATCTTTTCGTACAGGCGGCCTGGATAAAGCTGGGGTGGGAAGAAATTTTTGTATAGTGGAAGCTCTATGCCTTTGTAAATGTTTGGGGGATCTGATTGATTTGTATATCTGCTTGTGTACATCCTTCCCTTTCTTTTGAAATGAATGTTACCCTTTTTTCTCAAAAAAAAAAACTCCTAAAAAGGCTCTTTCTTTTACCAGTCTATTTTTTTCCGAAGAATTATAGAAAGTTTTTGAAACCACAAACTTTCAACAACTTTTGTCATAATTCACAATGTTCTCAATTTACTAAAAGCCAAACTCAAGTAAGCCTGATTTCATTGGTTCTTAATTCACAACAAACTCAGTCATATCATGGAAGATTCCTACCATTTAGTCTAGGTTCCAGTCTTCTAGAACTTTTAAACCTAGTTCCAGGAAGAAAGTAGCACACCAAATTATGTTGGCACCAGTGATCAAGGTACCTACCTGTTCCAGCACCAAGTTCTAGAGAAACAATTCCATCAAAATTGGATGAAGCAAACATCCTATGCAATACAAAATCAGCCAACACCAATTCGGCTCTCCATACCTAAAAATTGAAGAAGCAACAGATAAGTGATGGCAGATAAATGAAACATAAAGCATCACAAGAAGCTATGTTTTACCTGCAATCCAACATCTGGAATTGATGATGTTATATTATGCTGGATGGTTACTCCACAACTATTACTGGATGTTTCTGGGGAAAGAACAGAGAAAAATTATACCTTTACGATCCTGTCTAAAAAATGTAATCTTCAAAATGGATATACAACTCAGTTAGGAAGTAGTGATATTCCATGCATAACCACTGCAGTTTAAGAAACAGGCAATCAAGCCAATTAACCAGAATGGGAGCCATATTGAAAACCTTCCAGCCCACTCACCAGAGAGAGAGAAGGCTTTTCATTAAAGGAGAACATGAGTAACATGCCTAGGTTAGGTGTTCCAAATCTCCAATGCAAGAGAAATGGTGAGCGAGGATTATATTGAACATCTGAAACTCATATTTGATAAGTTAAATCTTGGTAATACTATGATTCACCCCTTTAACTGATAGGACATCTTTTACTTTAAATAGGACAGACCCAGACACTGAGTTTACAAAGAGAAGACTGAACAGAGCATCATAACCAATATCAGAAGCTGCTGTAACAAGAGTAATAGAAATAAGCAGTTCCAAACCCTCACTTTTATGCCCAGAAAAATTGAATAAATAAATCACTTTTACCAAGCATGGAATTTATAAAAATGCACAATAAAACAGCCAAAAGAACCTTATGATGAAAACATTTAGAATTTATTACTGAAGGATCAAATTAACCAAAAGATGCATGTAACAAGTATATTAGAAAACCATTTGGGTTTATGCCAGGGAGATCAACATGGAAGCTATGTTTCCATCAAGACAATTGATAGAAACGTTTAGAAAGAAGAAGAGAGATATTCATATGATTTTGTGATTTAAAGAGAGCATATGATAGATAGAGTCCCTAGAGAGGTAATATGATGGGTTCTAGAAAAGAAAGGAGTCCCAACTCCCAAATACGTATGCAGAGATAATCAAGGATATGTATGAGGATGCAAAAAAAAAAATCAACAGTAGAACACCTGTGGGAGAGACATTAGATTTTACAATTAGAATGGGTCTTCACCAAAGACCAGCATTTTACCTTATTTATTTGCATAGCCATAGATGAATTCATGAAATATATTCCAAAGGAGGTCCCAAGGTGCTTGATGTTTGTTGATGACATAGTATTAATTGATGAAACTAATGAAGGATTAAATGCAAAATTAGGATTATGGACAAGTACAATAAAAACAAGAGGTTTTGTAATAAATAGGATTAAAAGAGAATTTATGCAATGAAAATAGAAGTGCAAACCAAGATACATTGGAGACCAAGAGATAATTCAATGTAACCTCTTCCATTACTTTGGTTCAACAATTCATAACAAAGGGGAAATTGAGGAGGATGCCACTCATGGAATTAGAGCAGACTGAGCAAAACAGAGGGGTGAACCCAAAGTCTTATGTGATAGGAAAATACCACTTTACGAAAAGAAAAATTCTATAAAACAGTTGTAAGGCCAGTTATGTTGTATGGAGCAAAGTGTTGGCCCATTAAGAAACATGTCCAAAAAATAGTATGGCAGAAATGTCTACACTTAAATGGATGAGTATTGAATAGTAAAACTACAAAGGATAGGGTCAAAAAATGAAGTCATACAAAGGAACCTAGGAATAGCTCCAATAGGTGATAAAATGAGAGAAAGTAGACTGAGATGGTTTGGTCATGTGCATATATCATTACAGCACCTACTAGGAAAAATGATCTATTACAAGTTGACGGGGCTAGAAAAGCTAGGAGCAGACTGAAATGGACTTGGGTGGAATACTGGAACTAATAAGAAATGATCTAACCACTCATAATTTTATGATGGATATGGCACTGAATAGAACAGAATTGAGAAACAGGATTCATGTAGCCGACCCCATATATTTGGGACAAGGATTTCACCCAAATCTTTTAAATGATTTTTCTTCATTCTTTCACACCATCTGTGTTTAGTGTAGTTTCCTGATAATTAACCATATGTAACTAAAACAAATATATGTGAAAAAGATCATTTACTGAAGCTATTAGCCAAGGGACACCTTAGCAAAAAAAAATCTACCCTTTTTCTAGTCAATAATTGGTAGATCCTCAAATGATCTAAATATCAACCGCATATATGGTAAAGATATTGTTGCAAGCAGGAGAGTGAAGAACGGTGATTTGGCAATTTAATAAATGACATAAATATCATGAAGAGATACAATATGCATGTTGTGAATGATGTGCAGAAAATGTGTTTTGATTGGTGCCAAAGAAAAATAGAAGCCATTTTACATCAACAAAGCTTAAGACTGCATAATTGCTAATAGAACATTTTTCACAAGCTACAATTGCCATTTATCCAAACAAGAAAACGTTGAACAAAACTTTATACAGAAAATAGAGCAATCTAAGATTTTACAGATTTTATGGGAACTTACTGCTTCGTCGATTTAAAACAAGGTCTCCATCCTCATCTAAACTAAACATTTGGCATGTTGAAGCTCCTTCACATTTGACAAGATCAGCAGACCTGCCCCCCCTAGCATCAGGTCCTAGATCATTAAAGTAATTTAAAGTTTTATTAATGGTAATACTACAAACTCTCAGATAGTACTAACTGTGTTGGTAATAACATACACCATTATGACTTGATCACCAACCTAGACAACAACCAAGAATAGCATGAAACTCAAAGTCGAAAGTTTTAAATGAATTGGTGCAAATATTAACTCTAATTAAATTCTATGGTGATTACCCCTATTCCCAATACTGGACCAATTTCCTATTAAAGATAATTGTATAGAAATACTTGTAACTGCTGTTAAAGTTTCCCCTCTATATATTAGAGGATGATCTACTAAATTTGAAAGAAAGGTCAGCTAAATTTGAAATTTCTTCCAAATAGAGGACTTCAAATTTTCCAGGGCATTTAATTTGAGGTGTATTTGTCATGGAAACATACATTTTTTTATAATTAAGAGTATATTTCATTAAGAAACCACCATACTGCTCAAAAAACGTGAGAAGTAGGCCAGAATGTACAACTCAGATCACCATACAAGAAGTCACACTACAAAAAAATAAATAAATAAAGAATTAAAAACTCATCTTTTACACATTACAGCCCGTCCCTGGGAAACCCCATTCTAGACAATCCCTGAGGCAAGAATCAAGTATCCAGGTTGAATCACAGGGATAGAACTGCTGGTAATCCCTTGCACTTTGTGGGAAGCTTTTACTACCTTCAAGAAGCATATTATGTGCCTCCAAGTCCAAATCAATTAAAGTTGAAATTATATATCTCAGAAATTAATTTCCTACATGGAGTTGATTATAAGCAACTTATTCTAATTTGGGAGCAATTCTTAAAGCATAAAGCGGTTCATCAAATAACAAGCATTTAAGCTCCAACCAACCTCACGAATACAAAATCCAGAGAGCATACCATTCAATCTAATAAACTAATAATCAATAAAATTCTATCTAGGATTTTCAGTCCAACCTTTATATCCAGCAAATATACAACCATACACACCCGGAGGTGTCTGTAGGAGTTGTTTGGGCAGATAAACTGTCTGCTACCGCTTCATAGTACTTAAGTGTTCCCAGACATCTTCTAGTACTTAATTGTTCCCGGACGTCTTCTACAAAGGGCTAGACAAAGCATGTCATATGCAGTACACTCTATCTTATGGATGCTGGACTGCTTGAACACTAAGCTGAGTGCAACACATTTTACTACAATAATAAGTTTAATGTGCCCCCTTCCAGTTTGAAAATTTGATTGATATGACTAACGATTATAAGTTGCTAGAGTTGGTTCACCTGCAAACTATTCTAATCAAATTCCCAGTAGCTTTTATCACATTGGATTTCTTTTGAAGATTGAAAGCATAACATAGCAGTTAACATCCTTGAATAAACAAGTAAGGAAGTCTGTAATTTAATATAAATGATGAAGAAAGGAGTTTGACAGTTGAGAATACTTACCTGGTGGAAGAGGAAAGGTGAAGTGGGAGATGTGGGGTCCAGAGAAATGAGGAGGGCATCCCAAGTGAACCTCGCTCATCACATGCTCTGAGCAACCCCCGCCATTGGATGGTGTCAAGGGGTCCACTGTTTCTTCTTCTGACGACGATAGTGGTGTTGGTGAAGATACTGCATCTTTGTCTTCCATTGAGAGGGAGATGACTGAAGAAGTATAATCTCGAAGCATAATTCATTTCATCGATTACCATTAAATTAAACAGGGGCTAGCCTACTGTTGTCGAGTTCATGTCAAAAAAACAACTACAGAAAATAAAATAAAATGGAAATGGAAAAAAAAATGCAGAATATCAAATGGGGAATCCAAAGTTCTAAACCTGGGTTAGCGATATATGGGTATGTCGCCCACGCTGGCTCAGAAGGCTGCCAGGTCTCGATGAGTAGCTCCCTGGAGGCTGATGACGTCCTTGGCTGCTGGCTTATGGAGTAGTGTTTTCAAGGTTCCTTGTAACCGAATAGGGGAACGTCGATGAGGGGTATGCAGCACTGGAAGAGAGCTGCGGTTAGCACTTTGGGGGCCACCGCCGAAGCTGTTAGTGGGTTGAGCAATAGGATACAAGGTCAATAGCAAAAAAAAAAAACAATTGTTGCCAGACGGGGCTGACCAGAGGAGGTTAAGGGTGGTAATGAAGGTCTGCAAACCGCAGACAGCAATAGAACGAATGTGATGTGAAGAAGGTCGCCGGTTCCGTGACAGAGCAAATGTTCACTGAGAGTAGGAAGTGCAGGAGCAAAATGAGAAATGGGAAAATGAAAGTGGCGACTGGTTCAGGAGCGATGAAGAAAAGAAGAAGAAAATAAAGGAGAATAATGGGAGAAAAATAAAACTCGATGTCGGCGGCTACCGTCAGCGGCGGTGGCTGTTATCAATGGTGGTGGCAATGGTGTTCTCCGGTTCGGTCAACGGCAATAAGGAACCCCTCCGAACTCTCTTGGTCTCTCCCTGGCCCCTGCTTTTCTGTTTCTAGTTTCTACGGGCGATCATTTTCAACCCAGCCCGACCCAGCCTAGAAATTTCGGGCTTGGGCCTAGGTTTTGTGAGGCCGGCCCAGCAGCACTTACCTGTGTATGGTATGGCTAATACTTTTAAGACCATTTTTTGTGCACAAATTTATTGCAACTTGCCATCAATACAAAGAAAACAATTCGTCATGATAGTATGGGATTTGTTAAGAAAGCTAAATAATACAAATTTTTTTGGTCAATCAACTGGTAAATGTGATAGCCAATCAAGTGTTATTTATCAAAATTCATGGGTGGATTTTGATTGATCAAAACTCTTCCAATATCATATCTTTCCTGCATCATAGATTTTCTTTTATATTTTATATACTATTTTTAATAATTTTTTTATAATACAAAAATAACAATAATTAATTTCAGCTAGGGTTATTTATCAAATTGATGAAACCAACCAACCTGACCAACTTGAACTTAGTTAGTTGGTTGTCTAGTATTTTCCAGTCAGCTTTGATTCAACAATTTCCTAACCCGATTAGGTTGGATCAATTTCGCTTTGGCTATTTGTAAATCAACCAAAATCAAACGACCTGGTGTGTGTGTGTGTGTGTGTGTGTGTGTGTGTGGATGCAGTGTGACATTTTTTTGGACTAAAATTATCCTCTATTTATTTGTTTGATAAAGGGTATAAAAGTCATTTTATTATAGCTTTAATGGCTACTATGATGGTCATATTTGTGTGTGTAAGGGTTGAAAATGTAAATTCAATTATTACTTTCCACCTCATTTAATCCCCTCCCATTAAATCTTATACTTAAAGTATTAAATCTCATTTTCTCTTATTAAATCCTATATTTTCAAGTTGTTTTTCACTAATAAATGCTACTAATTAGATCTATGTCAATATTTTTAACAATATAAACCCATATATTTTAAAATTAATTCAAAAACAAAACCTTTCCTTATCCAAGTGGTGGATGTAGTGTGAAACTTTTTTTGGACTAAAATTATCCTCTACTTCTTTGTTTGAGGAAGGGTATAAAAGTCATTTTATTATAGCTTTAATGCTAGATTTAATGGCTAGTATAATGATAATATTTGTGTATTTAATCCATCTCTAATTGTAATGGTTGAAAACGTTACTTCAATTATTACTTTCCATCTCATTTAATCCCTTCTCATTAAGTCTTATACATAAGGTATTAAATCTCATTTTCTCTTATTAAATCCAATATTTTTAAGTTATTTTTCACTAATAAATGCTACTAACTAGATCTATGTCAATATTTTTAACAATATAAACCCATATATTTTAAAACTGATTCAAAAACAAAACCATTCTTTATCCAAGTGGTGGCTAAGCAATTCAACCATCTGAATCAAATTGATCAACCTATAAAGTTATAGTTAGGTAATAAAACTTTTAAAATAAAATAAATATAAAAAATTACAAAAAATAGAAAAAATTAGACACATTTATGACAATTTTATTAATCAAATTTAAAATAAGTGTAATAAAAAAGAATTATTTTTACTAGTAATGAAAATGAAATACATAATTTAGAACTAGCAAAAAATGAATATAAAAATTAATAATAAATAGTTCAAATTTTGGGTTAAATGTGTTAACCTTTAAACTTATAAATAAATAATAAAAGTTAGGGTAATTTCCTTAAATTACACCTACTGTTTAGCTAATTGACTAACATCACCCTTACAGTTTAGCTATTGTCTTAAAGTATCCTTAAGTTTTTTGACAATTGTCTAAAACCTCCATTGCCGTCAATTTTCCATTACACTTTGTTCACATGTGACATCATGTGAGTGGTAATTATTTTAAAATTCCTAAAATACCCTTATTCCATCACACTTTGTCTAAAACCCTTATCCCTTTTCCCTTTCTTCCTTTCTCCCTCATTCTTCCATCTTCAAGGCTACTGTTAGAAGTTGCAGCAGTAACGACGATTGACCTTAAATAAAGAAAAGAAAAACCAAAAAAAAAAAGATAAGAATGAAAGGGGCATTCATAGACAGAGGGAGGGGAATGCTGTTTAGCTTGAAATCTCATCGTCTTCTATCATCGGTAAACAGAATTGCAGCCACTGCTACTAGGAGTTGGGAGAACACTGTTCAACTCAAAATCTCATTGTCTTCTACCATCCGAGGTTGTTAGCCCATTACTATGGTTTCTAATCCAAGGTTGTTGGCCTATTGTAACCTCCTACTCTTCCCCATACTATACCTTTGGAGTTCAAATCTGCACCCCACGACTAGGCTCCCCACACAATGGAAGTCCACCACCTGTCCTTCTACACAAATTCCCCCCTCAATGCATGCATAGCTAACGGGGGGTGGTTGTTAGCTTCGAAAACTCGCCCAGAACCCCAATTTTCATGTTCCCACCACCTTCAACTCGAAATCTGTGTAAGAATCCTTGGAATATTTGGTAGTTCTTCACTGAAACCAATCCAAAACATAGGGCACTAATGTTGGTGTTAGCCCCACACTTCCACACCGGCTTACCCATTACTATCTCTGACATAGCACAACCAAGAACACATATGTCGGCTGGCACTTGGGATGATCATGGGCCGAGCCAGGCGGGCTGCACTTATGATAAGGGCCCAGGCCGGCCCGGGGTTCCGGGCCTAAAACATAAGCCCTAGCCCAGGCCTACACGAGCCTGAGCCAAGCAGGGCCTGATTTTGGGCCAATGCCTTTCATATATAAAACATTACATATCTATAATATTTTTATATTAAATGACATAACATGCATATAAACTTATTTTATACATTATATAATATAAAATATTATATATCTATATATTAAATGACATAACATGCATATAAACTTATTTTATACATTATATAATATAAAATATTACATATAATATAAATTATACATGTCATGTTATAATATTTATATATAGAATATATAATCTAATGTAAAATAACGTGTATACATTATACACAAAATGTGTAAGTTTAAATATATGTGGTCCGGGTCGGGCTGGGTCAAGCCTGAAGTATTAAGCCCAATCCCGGCCCTAAAATTTGTGGGCTTGATGTGGGCCTAGGCCCGAGCTGGGCTTGAACACAAAACCCATGCCCAAGCCCGAAATTTTCGGGTCGGGCTGAAATGATCACCCCTAGCTGGTGCCTCGTGTTCATTGCAGGCGATGGATTCTGGCAACATGTAAAGCAGAGTACCTCTTAATCCAAATGCCCCACCTTTTGTTCTCTTGCTCTTTTTTCCTAGTCCTGTCTTCTTCGCCAGCCCAAAATTAGCAACCTTAATTTCGCTGCTTCCATCTAGAGAAGAACAGAGGAGGAAATGAAGACCTCAAAGAGTTGATCTTGTGTAACGTCAAACATCAAATTCCAATTTCCCATTCTCAACAGTAAGATGGGCCAAATCTCTTTCTCTACTTTAATGAGGAAGACTTGGAAAGCACAAGGATTTCACTACCATCAATTGAGTAACCTGAACCAACAGACTGTTATCACTTCTAGGTATTACCAAATTTACGGTGGCAAAGCTTCCCCTGCCAACGGACTTCCCTCTCTTCCACTCCATGGTTTTTTCCAGGTTCAGCGTGATGTCAATGCCAATCGTTGTTGGTATGGTGTTTGAGGGCCAGAACATAGAGGTGTGTACATGGCATAACACTGTTTCATGGATGATCCCTGCTAGGGGAAAAGGATGATAGTCAATCAGTTGGGCTTTATTTTGAAATTTGAGAAGTAGTGGAGGGCAAATTCTACATTTTGTTTCTTTCCATTATGTAAGCAGTAAGGGTACAGTTAGTCAATTTCGCAAATAATAGGGGTAGTTTAAGGAAATTGCCATAAAAGTTAATATAAAAGGGTTCGACTATGATATGGAAAAAGATATGATATCTGAAAAACAACTGACCAATAAACTGGAACCATAAACGTGGTGAGGAAATCAGGTGTTATTTATCAAAATTCATGGGTGGGTTTTGATTGGTCAAAACTCTTTCCATATCATATCTTTTCCGCATCATAGATTTTCCCAATATAAACATACAAAAATGAAAAAAAAAATACATAAATTTTGCCAAAAAAAAAAACATCCAAGCACATGTATTTATCATATTAAACAAAACGTAAGTGTGACATATCAGAATTATTTTTACACACAAAAATACAAAAAGAATTATAGAAAAAATTGAACACATCTATAATTCTATATTTACATTTACACTACTATTAAAAATATGAATAAGATTATGGAACTTTCTTTTGACTAAAAATCAAGGCTTTAAAACTGGTCTAGAAACGGACCCGTTTTGGCTTCCAGTTTTCAACTCAACAGTTCAACCATCCAGTTTAAGCAGGTCAAACTGATAAGATGTAATATAGTGTAACTTTTTATTTTGATCGTTAAATTAAGATTAGGTTAAAGTCCACCGTATATATACATTATTATGAGAGGGGAGTGTGAAACTTTGAAAATGAGGTGACTGGTTAAAGCTGAGAAGTGAGAATAAGAAGAAGATGATGATGATGAGAAGGAAGCATTGCCGGAGGTGGTTGTCACCATGTTCATCGATCATTGTTGTAGAATTGTTTGCCTTGAGAAGAAGAAGAAGAAGAAAAAGGAAGAGAAGGAGGAGGAGGAGGAAATACCGCTGACAACTATCTCTATGTTCATTTTTTTTTTTGTAAATCGTAAATTGAACTACTACTTTTCACCTCATTCAATTCTCTTTATTTAAATCTTACATTTTTTTTATAAATGAACAAAAGAAAAAAGATACACCAAAAAGATAAAACACTACAAAAAAAAGAGTCTAGTCAAGCAGGTAGGCCATGTGCAAAGCACGTGCACACTTACTAGTATATATTAAATATTTAAATAATATATAAAATAATTAAAATTTTTTGTTATTTGAATTTTATTTCTATTAAAGTTATTACATAATATTAAACATTTTGTTATATAATAATTTAGCTATTTTTAATATTTTTTTATTTAAGATATTTAGTTCTTGAAATATTTAAATAATGTCTTATTTT